TATTACTTCATTTTCCAAACAATAGTTTTAATTTTGTTTTAAGTAGGGTAAATAATTTAAAATGAGAATCGATAGTTATTAAAAAGTTAAATCCACACCTATCTATACACAATAATTACATGACTCGCAGTTATTCATTTGGAAATTGCCTATATAGAACTCCTTAAAAGGTAAGTTATACAAAATGGCAGAAAAAACTTTTTACTTAAAATATTATACATTTTCATTACATAATATATTACATTTTTATATTTCAAATTAAAATCAGACTAAATGAATGGGAATATAAAACTAAATAATATTAAGGGGATTGCAAACGTACAGTTTCTAAGGAGTTTAGTATAGGCAATAATATAAGGGCGTGCGTGCAAGCTTACAAGTGTGTGCGTAGTAAATGATCATTAGTGTTATTGACACCGTCTCACGGGTAAGAACGGTGCGGGCGGAGATTCTAGAACACATTATTTTGTTATATGGGTTATTAGCAAAAGTGCTTTATGCCGATGATAAACACAATGTCGCTACCTATATAATATATATATTTTATAATAAAATCTGTTTATATTCATAGATATTATATTATATTGCCAAACATTTATAATTAAAATTTTATAAAAATAAATTACAATTAAATTTAACTTTATTTAACTGAGGTTAATAGTTCTGGTAACAAGTAATTTAGGTAAAACTCGATAAAATAACTTCCATTTTGTTTTTCCAAACTCATCGTCACGTTCTATTTTATCAACACATATCCCTATAATAGTACAAATACATAATATTATATAATATAATAATGTACATTATAAATAATATAATATATGAAAAAAATATATATATATATTTATTATACCTTTGGTGTCCACACAATAAGTAACAGAATTTTCTATTAGTTATGTGAAGTTGCTTGTGAACTTGGTATTAATATATATGTGTTTTAAATTAAATTGTTGTTTGTATTTCCATAAACTTTAATTTTTGTTATGTCTTCATAGGTGTGAAATATTTTATAGAAAGGACATTTAATTTCTATAATTGAATCGTCCAACTAGTCCATCTGGAAGCAATAATGGTGAATCGAAGTCAACAATGGTCCTGCCAATTTCACTGCATACATAAAGAAACTATAATTCTTTGCCACAATATAGGTTCAAATTGTATTCGTAACTAAATTCAAGTTATTAAATTGTTACAGAAAATATTTTCAAGTAAAATATAGTTAAATTGCAGTTGCAGAGGTACCATAGAAAATAATCCGATTGTTATAAATTGAAATTATATGTTTTTCTTTAGGAGTTGTTTGCGCATTTGCAGATTTGCAAAATTTGGTAGTCAATCTTTATTTCTTCCTTTTCCATTCTTCACAATTCGATTGTTCAACTGTTCGACATTGTAATTTTCAATCTCGTGTTGCTTAATTTAAACTGGCTAATAAATTCAATTTTTCTTCGAACTCTTCACAGGATATGGGTAATGGATGACAATCTAGTTCTTGTTACTGCTCCTGTCATCAGGTCCATAAACTTAAAGCTTAAAAATAATCTTAATATGATGTAATATATATCATAAAAGTTTTTTTTTTGGTTTTAATTTGTAAATGTTAACGTGAAGGACGAAGGTACCTACATAACATAATATTTTATATACCTTATTTGATAAAAGCGTAGATTTTATAATATCCATCCATTTCGAATTAAAATCAATAGACACAGTTTGTTCACAAGCCATTATAATACAGGCACGTTTTTTAAGATTCTTTATAGAAGTTCGTTTTTCTATGGCCTGGTAACAACCAGTACATAAACACGAATCTGATCCAATTAAATGAGAAGCATCTATAAAAATATCAATATAAATACAGTAAAATATTCGTTGATCAAAAAAATTTCAGATTTTTAACAACTTGTAGAACTGAAATATTAATCAAAACTATTCAAGAGTTAAGACTAAGTTTAAATATAGGTGTTTAAATAAATATTTAATTAAAACATAAATTTTCTAAACACCAGTTTGTTTTTAGTTTTAACCATATAAATCTAGTTATTCTTATTGTTAAAAATTAAAAAGAGATGTTAAATATGTAATATAAATTTCATACTTTCCAAACACGCTTTTTGCTTATCTGGATTTTTTATTTGTGCTATATGAAAAGGAGTTTCTAGTAAATCAAATTTTCTGTTACAAGAACTGCATTCAGGAATACAAGAATGATCTATATTAATTGATGATCCTAATGGTTTTTCTGCTGAGATCAAAGTAGGGCTAAAAAAAAAATATTACACCAACAATCCAATTATTAGTGGACGTTGTTGATCGTCATTCAGCACTAACTATTTATACATACATGACGGTATGCTTTTGATCATCTTTTTTACAGTTGGATTTTTTTGATGGATACGTTCTCTTCACTTTTTCTGAAATTTATTCATTATGTATTTTTAAATTTTAATTGACAATAAGTAACAATTAAAGAATACATATACCAGATAATTCTTTTAATGAAGTACATTAATTAGTTCTAAAATTATTAATGTTTTAGAAAATATGGTTATTACATAATTTTAAGTCGTTACACAATATATTTTTTCTATTTTTATTTTAAGTTGATTATTTATTTGGAGTATTTAATACATAAAAGTCAAATTTTAGAAGAGTAGTTTATGAGTTGCAAATATTTAAAGTTTTGATTAGTGATAGTCCACAAAATTTAGTTCAATACTCCACTCATTAAAACTTAGAATACTACTATAAAAGTATTGATTAAATTTTTGAACAAAATTTGAATATTATGTATCAAAATAATATGAATAATATTCGTTTTCGAAATATGAAATTAAAAACGGATGCCATGAATTAAAGAAAAAATACAAAACATAATATAAAAAAAAAAATTTGTTTTGTAACGACTTGAAACAAAAAATAATAGTAATAATAATAAATAAATACAAATATTTCAATAAATATTAAGAGTTCTTAAGATAATAAGTATCATTATATCATAGAATCATCCAGTATGTATACTTATATTATGTAAAATGTATTCAACAGCGAAAAAATTAAATTAATTTTCTTTTAAATAGATTAATAAGTACAAATTCCATTTTTTATAATTGAATACTTAAAATACAATTAAAAAACTTTGACAAGTTCAATTAAATACAATACGTATATATAAATAATTAATATTCATATTTTAGTAGTATAAACAAAAATAATTTACTTTTCTTAATAATATTAAAATAAACAAACTACCTGAACTAGTTCGATCATGATTCGATTGTTTAGTTTTTTCTTTATTATCTATGTTAATAGCCTGAAAAATAAATAATTTTTAAAACATTCTAGTCACATTTTTTTAAGTTTATATCCAATATAAAGATTTATTAAAATTTCTCATTTAAACAATGATCTGGTTTTCGTAAACAACTATTAGTTACTCAACAATATATTGTTATGTATGTAAATGTTGCAAAAGTGGAGAATTTATAAAATTGTCTAATTTTTTTTCAATTCTAAGGAAGTTAATTTGTTATGAGTATTAATAATATTAGTACAATCTTATTTATTTAATCATAAGCAAAAATACCAAATTTAAATAAAAATTATTATAAAAATATATTTAATAATTATAAATATTGAACAGATAGTATTGCAATAGTATAGTCTCCTATTAAATATTGATAATACCAATATTGTAACACAAAAATTATCAATGATGTTTTCAAATAAATTATAATTATATTTCTAATCAAAAAGTGTTATTTATTTACAAATTAAAATAAACCATTACAATTTAATCCTAATTGGAATCCTATTTTAAAAGAGAAACAAAATTAAAAGCAACAAGCAATAAAAATTGTTACCTTTGGATGAATTTTTCTTTTTTTTGATAATCTAGATCTCACATTCTTTTTTTCACTGTGTACACATGACGATAATCCTAGACCAACCAAAAATTTTTTTTTTTGAGGTGTTATTTTAGTTGTAGTTGCTTCATCCAATATGGATACAATTGGTTCATCTGTTGTAATCTGTTGAGGATTTAACCTTAGAGATTTCTTTTTTTTCTTTACAACCATTTTAGAGTTGATGTTTAATACATTTTTGATACATTTTTCATCTATAGTCACTTCAAAATGTGTGTTTGGTACAGATACTATATTTTTTATAGACAAATTAAGATTAGCTTTTGGAAGATTTAATCTATTCTTTATAACTTCCACAGAATACTTATTTGGTTGCAATAGTTCCTTCTCAACAGAATTTTCTAAGCATGTATTTAGTAGAGTTAGTTCTTTTTTTACAGTATCCTTAAAATATCTGTTTGAAAAAGAAAATTTTTTCATCATATTCTTTTTGAGATATGTAATTGGCAGAGATGGATACTTCTCGGAATATTTATTTGATATCGATAGTCGCTTTTTTAAATTCACCTTAGAATATGTAATGGACATAGATAATTTACTCTTTGCTTTATTATAAAATTTAAATATAGATCGTTTATCTTGGATGGTTTCATAAGGATATATTTTCAGTAATGATAATGTACCTTTGAAATAAATATTAGAATACACTTTTGATAGAAATTGTTGATTTCTTATGTTCTTTATAGAAAACTTTTTTAGGAGAAATAATTTATTATACGCAATAAACTGAGAATATGTTTTTGGCGGAGAAAATTTCTTCATTAAACTCATCTTGGAGTACAATTTTCTTAAATCTTGTAAACTAATTATAATCATTTTGAAGTATTTTTTAAAACAATATTTTATATTTATAAATTTAGTCGAATTTGAAAGTATAAATGGTGCTTTTCCTGCTTTAAAATACAATTTATTTAAAAACAAATTAAGTTTTCTTAAGATTTTTATTTTAGTATTTTTGAATTGAATTATTGGCAGAGATAATCTAAATTTTGCCGTTACCTCTGAATAAGTTTTTGGTAAACTTGATGCTTCTTCTATGTAAGTAATTTTAAAAGAAGATAGCAATGCTTTAATTTTAAACAATTTTGAATACATTCTTGATAATTTTTTTATATTGGTCATTTTCGAATTTGATTTTTGATATGATTGTAATTTTTCTATTTCTATTATTAGGTAATATATTTTTGATGTTATTTTTGAATATGAATCATAAAAAACTCGAGTTCTTTTATTTTTCATTGTCTTGGAATATAGTTTTGGTGAGAAAGACACTTTCTCTATCATACATAAGTTTGATTCATAAACAGAATGTTTTTTTTTTGTTTCTGATATTTTAAAAAACAATTCTTTAATTAATGACGCTTCTTTCCTGATAGTTTTTTTAGAATATTTTCTATGTGTTGATGATATATTTTCTATTTCACGCATTTCAGAGTAATATTTTTTTAGTTTTTTCAACTCATTAACTGTGAAAAATAACGTTTGTGTATAAGGATCATAGGTCCACCAAGATTGAAGTAATAAAGGTTTAAAAATATTCAACTCACAGTTCTTATCACTTTTAGTTTTATTTTTATTCTTATAAATAGTTTGTTTTGAGTTATGAACATAATTTTCTTCTATAGTTGAATCATCAGGTTGTAAAATATTGCTATTTAGACAAGAAGGAAAAGTATGATTATAATTACAAGCATAAGTTTGATCAATAACTTTAAATTCTAAACTTGGTAGAAATTCAAACATGTTTAAAAACTCAATATTATTAAAACTATGAATTAATATAAAATTATTTTTATAATACATACTATTTAAAGACATATTTAAACACACAGTGTTTACTTTTAAAGGAGGTTGATTACTTGATTTTCTATGTCTTCTATTTTTCTTTCTTTCCATTAAACAGCAGTTGCTCCCATTTTTTTGTTTTATGTTACTTGGTATCTTATCGAGCTGTTTATTAGTATTATTAGTAGTTGGTGCAATTATATTTATTAATGATTCACAACTGTTTGAGGTTTTGGTATTTTTAGAATGGTTTTTTGCTAGTTTTTTTTTGGTATTAAATATTTGTTGTTTTACTGCATCAATATTAATACTAATTGTTAACCGTTGATTTACTTTAGTTTTAATACTTTTTGTTTTTTGTTTTTTTACTTTTATTTTTATAAAATGTTTTCTTTGTAATCTAGCACAATGTATAATTTTATTATTTAGTTGGATTTTTTTTCTGTTAGCTTTTGTATTTTTTGTATTATTGCTTATATTTTCTGCTATTAGTATATCCATAGTAGACAGATTGTATGGAGTACCTCAAACAATCATTAAATAGAATTTTTACTTAATTTTTGCATCAACATCTAGTGAATTTGAATGAATAGCAAGATTATATATCTAACTCAACTATCAAGATATTCATCATAAAAGGAACCAGATTTTCCTCAAAAATAGAACACCAAATCTGAAAAAAAAAAATTAAAATAATTAAAAATATTTTAAGATAAAGATAATTTTTTGGAGATTTTTATACCATATATTAAATATAAATTAGAATTAAACAGTTTCCTCAACTTCACATACCTAAAATAATAATAATAACAATAATAATGTACAATTGGTGAGATTATACTGTTATATAGTATTTAATCTACCAAAAATCTATGGTAACTAGTGATGGGAAAGTTTTTTTTATAAAACGAACTAGTTCATGTTCAGGTTCAATACATTAAATATGAACTAGTTCAAATTCTAGTTCACAGTTTTTAAAATTAACTAATCCATGTTATTTTTAAGAATTATAAAAAGTTGCTAATAACTTATTTATACACAATATAATGTGTTTAATAAAAATTGCAATTTACGTCTGTATAGTGCAATAGAATTATAACTACATGTAAAAAGTTAAAATAATGTTATAAATTATAATACTATTCATTCATATCGGTACAATAAAAGTTACTTAATAGAAAATAGTCAATAAATGTAGTAAATAATACTTATAGTCTGCAAGTCGCAACATAAAAACTAACAGTTTAGAGCGTATTGGAATTTAATGGCCACTAGATTTATAGCAGCCAGGGACCAGTTTTCATGCTGTGAACTATAATATGAAATTAAAATTTAGATGTGAAAATATAAATTAATGTTTATGTATAGTTTGTCTATATTACTGTTTATGCCATTTTCCGACTTTCATACTTTCCTACCTCCTGGAAGACAACAGTTATTGTCCCTTAAACCTAACAAGCCTCCCGATAAAGCGGATTCATACAGACCAATCAGTCTTTTACCAAGCATTGGTAAAATCCTAAAAACCTACTTCTTAAGAAAAAAACGTGCTATCTGAATTCCAATTTAGTTTTCGCCTTAAACACGCCACTTTTCACTAACTTCACCGAGTTGTTGATCAAATTGTGACCTCCCTCGAAACGTTGCTAAAGCATTTGACTTGGTCTAGCACACCGGTCTCCTATACAAATTAAAAAAAAATCTTTCCTACGCCATACTATCTCTTACTCAAGCTTTACATGTAAAATAGGTCTTTCGATGTTAAAATTAATTTTATTCTCTCCGGTTCTCACGGTATGCTGGCGTTTCTCAAGGAAGAGACATTGCTCCCATTTTGTACATCCTATTCACAGTGGATATTTCTACCACCGAAAACAACCTCCAGGGCACATATGCTGACAATACTCTGTTATCTTAGCCTCAGACCTTGATCCACTCAATTGCATTCACCCTCAGCTAAAGGACTGTCCTGAAGTTTCTTTCAATAACTTAGTAATTTCCCACTCAAGGGAAGCCAAATACTTACTCGACAGGAGACTCACTTGGGGTTCCCCCTCTCAAAAGCAAAAGAAAAGAACTACTAACGTCTACACCTGATTAAACCTATCTTCAAATTCAACATGAGCTTGTCTAACCGCTTACTCCGTCTTCTCTAACCAATCTGGTCCTACGGCATTGCCCTTTGGGATATTACCAAACCTTCAAATCTTAGGACAATCCAAGTGTTACAATCTATTTGCCTCCATATGGTCACAAAAGCACCATGGTTCGTTACAAACGTCGCTCTACACGAAGACCTCTAAGTTCCATTCGTCAATCAGACTGCAGTCACTTTCTATCGAAGAATCCACTCCAAAATACTAGGCCACCCAAACTAATTCATATCCTAAGTACACAGCAAATCACTTCCAGGTAACTTAACATGACGCCTTAACCGTCATTGGTCCAAAGATCTCTTTAATTAAATTGTTTTAAATATAAAACTCATTTAAAGGTAACTCTACTGTGACCTCCTCTTTTCACCACCTCATAATTGTAACCCTTCTTTTAAATTACTTATTGAACATGATATAGATTATTTTTTTATTTTTTTTTTTTAAAAAAAAACCTTGTTCTAAGAAAAAAGGTCTATGGATTTGTCCATGTTTTTTGAGTTGTTTCTAGGCGACTATAGTCATGAAATAGAATATTTAAGTTATAAATATAACTCAGTTCGTGTTTAGACGTCGTACAGTCCACACGTTAATTGCCACGCGCTCCGCTTTTATCAGCTCTCGATAGCGTGTGTACTATATCGAATTGCTATCGCTTCCAGCGCTCATCGCGGTATTAGTAATGTATAAAACATAAGACTCGCCGCGATCGGGACTAACGCCTTATCGCATTATACTCTTATTGACCAACACGCGACCGTACCACTACGGTCCTAATCAGTGCTATTACCTAAAATGCCTAATAATAAAAATAATAAAACTGTATCTCCACTCATTATCCAAAAGTCACGCATACAGAGCGTGCCAAATGATTCATCAGTTTTTTCATCAGTAACCAATTCCAACGACGATTGGAAAACTCAAAATAATCATAAACGTCAGTACTCACCTAATCAATCATCGAAAGTAACTAAACAATTCGTAACGCCAAATCGCTTTTCTCTATTCAGTCCACCAAACCTCGACGATCAAAACAATGACTCTTCTGAAACCAAAGATAACGACCCTAATGGAGACATTCTAGAACATTCTGAGAGTAAACCTCCTCCGCCAATCTTTATTAATCTAGTAAATGACTTCAAATCATTTTGCTCTCAAATTAAATCATTAACAAAAGGCGAACCATTCACTTGTAAGAGCTCCACCAATGGAGTTAAACTCCTAACTACATCACTAAACTCGTACAGAGAAGTAATAAAATTTCTAAAATCCAACAAAGCGGACTATCATACTTATCAATCAAAACAAGATCGAGCCTATAGAATTATAATCAGAAACTTACATCACACAACCCTTCTTGATGATATTAAAAAAGAGTTACTTGATCTCGGTCACATCGCTAGAAACGTAACAAACGTTCTACAATATAACACTAAGGTCCCACTCCCATTATTCTTCATAGATCTAGAACCAGCCATAAACAATAAAGATATCTTCAAATCGAATACCTATGCTACACTAAAATTAAAACAGAAGAACCTCGAATTAAACATCACTTAGTCCAATGCCTTCGGTGCCAAGAATACGGCCACACAAAAGCTTACTGCAATCACACACCCAAATGCGTTCGATGTGGCGAACTTCACCTATCAGATTCCTGCCAAAAACCCACCGATCAACGCGCCAAGTGTGCGCTTTGTCAGGGTAACCATCCAGCAAACTATCG